CTTTAGCATCCCTTCATTTCAAATGAAACCTAGCCCCATCCTTGAGTTCTTGAGCATTTTGTGGTGTTTTGGTGACTTGAAGAGGAAGGGATCATCTTTGGAGCATAGATCTAGCTTATAAGCTTCATTAGCATATTCTAGTAACCTCCCTGGACCCTTATGAGTATTCAAGCTTCATGATTTATGGTTCATTGTTTCTAGATCTAGAGTTTTACATATTATGGTTCATGATTATATGTGTAAGAGTGTTGGGACTCCATAGAGTTAGCAACTTTATGGGTCCTTAGGGTCCCTTGGTTATTATATGTAGTAGATCTAAAGTTTGGCTGAAGTTTGAGCTCATGTTGAGGTTTTGACCTCATTTTCTTCATAAATGACCTAAATTGAGCTCAAGTCTTGCATTGGACATGCAATACCTTAAAGCATCGATTTTTATGGCGTTTGAGGTGTAAGGAAGTCTTCTGGAGGAAGTGGATTAGTGGCTTAATGGAATAAGGGGTTTAATTAATCAAAATGTCATTCAGATAGTTCTCACGGCGTGAGACTATGCCTGTCATGTCGCAAGGTTCGAAGGACCACCGTTATTTTGTCTTTAAGTGGCTCACGATGTGACCAATAGATTGTCACGTCGTGAGGGGTAGTTGACTGTTGACTTTTTGACCAGTTTGACTTTTATTCAAACTTGAAGGATTTGGACTATTGATTAATACTCTTCCATGTTTTAGTGCTAGAGGACTCGTGGAAGCAAGCAACATAGAAAGCGAAGCGCGTCGCAGTGTTTTTGGGTTCTTCGTTTTAGGTGAGTTTTTCGCATTGTATACATGGGTCGAAGACACCAACACCGACCCACTAATTTTGGTTATGTATCCATGTGGATAGGATGTTATTGCATTGTAGTGAGTTGTTAGATATATTTATATCCTTATGTGTTAGGATGCAACAGTAGTGGCATGTTGGTTAGAGTACCAGTAGGCTGGTTATCGTCTTGTAGAATGTCGTAAGGGTCATAGCTAGCCAGGTAGGATAGCCTGAGAAGTCTTGATCTAGGATTTCTTGCTTGTTCCTTTTTTGGTTGTGTCTCTAGAGTACGATCATTTGTTTAGATGGCTATATCACCTCTGATTACTTATGTCTACGCATCCCATGGAGATTACTTGGTAGCAAAGCAGTGTGCTGTGAGGGGTCTAGTAGGCGGTAGCTGTTTGATTATGTGTCTAAGTTAATAATTAAATTAGTATAATTTTGATTTATTAGCAGAGTCCTTTTGGGTTGCCCTCAAACCTATTTATTGACCAGAATGTTTTTTGGAGATATAGACTGATTTATTAATTTATTATATGATTTAAATTAATTAGAAATCAAAATAAATAATTATAATAATATATTATGAGAATAATATATTAATTAGAAATAGAATTATTTAATTAAAAATTAATCAGAAATTAATTTGAATTAATTTTGGGATTAATTGGATTAATTAAAAGTAGAAGAACGAAAGGTGACAATGTTCAAAAGTTGAGCATTGACCAATTCTAGAACCTCCTAAGAGGGGGGGGGGGGGTTTAGAGGGGGATTCTAGAGCTTTTCTTGGGCTTTAAGGAAGCTTAGGAAGCCTTAGGGAGCAAGAAAAGGGATAAAGGGTTATCCAGTGAAACTTGCCTTATCCTAGCTTCCTTACTCACCTATATAAACCCCTTATGGGATTCATATTTTCAGCCATCCCTTCTCCAAGAGTTTAGAGCCGGAAATTCCTCCTTCTCATCTCTCTTCTTTAACTTCTAATTGTTAGGGTTTGGGTGTGAGCCATTAGAGGCACGAGACTAAGCTCGGCTGGCAGATCCAACCTTTATGCCACCTTGCCCACCCAGGCTATAACCCTGAAAGGACCAATGTACCTGGGGCCCAACTTGCCCTGCTTCTTGAACTGGATGACACCTTTCCAAGGTGACACATTCAGTAGAACCATATCTCCTACCTGAAACTCCAGGTCTGAACGACACTTGTCGGCATAACTTTTCTGCCAACTCTAAGTAGTTTGAAGCCTGCTCCGGACCTGCTGGATCCTCTCTGTCATCTTGAGTACCACCTCAGTACTCCCTATGACCCTTTGCCTAACCTCAACTCAACATATCGTGGTCTTGCACTTCCTCCAGTATAACATCTCGAAGGGAGGACGGTCGATGCTCGCATGTTACCTATTATTGTAGGAAAACTCTGCCAAGGGAAGGTAAGTATCCCAGCTACCACCGAAGTCTAGTACGCACGCCTGCAGCATGTCCTCCAAGGTCTAGATGGTCCGCATCATAAGTTCCTTGGCCAGTTTCTAAATATGTAGATCCCTCTTTGTTTATGATAATTAATCATTGGGGATTGGGCTACCAATGATGCAGTACTTGTTCTAGAAAATTTGAACCATGGTGTTTGTTATAGATATCTAGGACGATTTATCAAGTGGTTACACACTTGAGGTAGAATGCGAATTTAGATTCAGTGTGAGGGTTCGTATCGTCTATTGTTATGCTCATAGGAGCGGTAGGTTTTGTGTTGACTTGTCATGAAGTCAAGCGTGTAGCTGAGGCCTTCTAGGCATGAATTTTTGGATCTAGTAACATTTGAGTTATTATGGTAAGGATGTTTGGGTGCTCGTTTCAGCGTCAGATGGCGGTGTTCCTAGTCAATGGGACTAAGGCATGAGTATATCAGGAGGATGATCGTCAGTCTTTGAGTATGATTTTTTAGGATCCCAACTGATAGATTTCTGCTCTTATGAAGTTATCACTGGGATGAGTTGTGGTAGAAATATTAAACTATCCAGATTTAATGGTTTCACCAGGAAATTGATCGGATAGTCGGTAGTGAGAGAGGTAGTGTTGCTAGTTTAGTAACTTCGAGTGACCGGGTTTGTTTTGATGACTCGTTCTAGGTTCCGAGTGGTATCGCGAACCATTGTGTGGATGCATCGATTTAACTAATGGTTTGGAAGAGTTTTCAGGTTTCACATAAGGGGTTGTTTTTCTAAAATTTTGGCCAAAGTGGATTTCGAGGACGAAATCCAGTTTAAGTGGGGGAGAATTGTAACATCCGATTTGAGGATTTATTTTGATCAAGAGAGAGGGTCTCAATATTTATGGTATGAAGTTTGGACCTTATATGGGTGTGGTTTTAGGGTTAAAAGACTTAGGCTTCAGACAAAAAGGTTTAGTTGAGCTGGAAACTAGATTGGGCTTTGCTGAATTAGACTTTTCACGATGAGACATATAAGGTGTCACAACGTGATTTATGTTTTAGCCCAAGCATATGTTTTTAAGGTTTTATTGCATATTTAAGGAAGTTATTTCCATGTTTTTGGCCATTTTGTAGCCATCATCACATCAGAGAACCTCTTGAATGTAAACCCTAGCCTCCATATTACTTCATCTCCATTTCTTTCCTAGTTTTGAGCTTTTGGTGTATTCTTGATTCTTGAAGCTAGAGGAGGCGATTCTTGGTGCTTAGAAGCTTTCCTCCAGCTTAGATCCAACAATCTCACCACTTTTCTGAACCTTGGTGAGTATAAAGTTCCTATGTTAATGGTTATTGCTTTAGATCTAGTTTTATATGATTTTTTTGGTATCTTCTTGGTCCCTTTTTTGTGTTCTTGGATTTTGTAGAACTCCATAACCATATGAACGAATTAAACAACTTCTAGACTTGCTTGGTGATGGGAAAATGGTTGTGCGTGCATTTCCTTAGGCCATGCATTAAGTTTTGACACTATAAATGGAATTTTCAACTTAGGTCTTGAGATTTAAAGTTATTAAGCCCTTGGCATGGAAAATTTATCCACTAAGTCATTGTGGAGTATCATACCTGAGAATTGGAACCTTTATAGTTAAGGATTAAGAGCTTAATGAGTTGAGATGTTGAACGAAAATCACAACGCGGTTTGTTGAGGGTCACGTGATTTTGGAGTGTTGCCGACTATTTTGCCGTTTAGTGGATCACGACGCGACTGGTCAAGGGTCATGACGTGCATGTCGTTGACCGTTGACATTCTGATTTTTTTTTTACTAGTTTGAATTTGGGATCAAACTTGGAGGTTTTGAGATATAGATTGTTGTGACTAGATTACGCAATTCACGTAGTTGATTCTTTGGGACTTCGGGTACTCATATTTAGTTATGATTTTCAGGTGAATCTCCCCATTATACTGTGTAGGACACTGAGTGTCGATGTATGCTTGGTTGTGTGCTTAGCTAGACTGGTAGGGTCTTGATTGTTGCTTGTATGCTTATATGCTTATTAGGTTTAACCCGTTGGGTTGGGCCTGCATAGTTGGGTTGGACCGGTCAGGCTAAACCCACATAGTTGGGTTGAACCCGTTAGACTAGACCTGCATGGTTGGGTTAGACTTGTTGGTTTGGGCCCATTATCTTGTGTTGTTTGTGATATGTTGGGACATTCACTAAGTTTTATACTTATTGTTTTAAGTTTAAATGTTGCAGGTTGTTTTCTAGTAGCAAGGGGAACAGCAGGGTATGATTGCATAGCATCTTTGGATATGTTTTGAGACTTCTGTAATTTTATTTATTATCTTGATACTCTAAATGGTATTTTGAAACAAATAGTTTTATTAGATCTTTAAGAATGTACTTAGAATGATTATCTCTAAATTAAAAATGAAAAATTTTGTTTCAAAATTTGGGAGGTTACATCGTTATTTTCCAATTGTTATTGCTCATAGGTCACCTTCAAATTATTGGCTTCATTCCTAACACTTCCACATTGATTAAGAGGTTGTTCAACTTCCCCGCCTTTTATTTTGAGTCCTTCCATTATGACTTGAGTTGTTGGTGTAAACCATAAGCACCACCGAGCATTCTATTGTGAAAATGATATGTAACACAGTCCAAAAAGTACTAGCAGTTTGTACATTACCGTTTTCACCGTCCTCTGAGATGTCGATCCACACACGTGCAAATCCGTACAAATAGTAATAATGGTGGTGTTGGAGCTCTTAATCAGTCGGGATGGTTTTGGTTTTTGGGTTTCTGGTACAAGTTGGAAACCATGTTGGTTTTGTGAACTTTATACGAAATCAACATCATTCTCACAAATGAGGCAAGAAACATTAGTTTTTACAAATTCGTATAAAACTCACCCAAAGTTACACATACAACGTTTACAAAAGCCAAAAAAACTATAAGATTCAACTTTCATAATTATTGTACATAAATCACCACTGACCTACATGTGTCACTCACACCTGTTGGAAAAATGGCAGTTTGCTGTAAGTCTCGTTTAATTTAATTAGTAGAGGGAACTCATCCTGACTCTGCACAAATAAATAAAAACATAACTTATACTTTTACTAGTTGTAATAATTGTGTTAAAGAAACAAAAAAATAATAATAATGAAACCAACAACAGGTTATATGCAATTTTTAAGAACTAAGAAGATAAAAAAAAAAAAAAAAAAAAAAAAAGTTTACATATTAGTACCATGTCAAGCTTGTAACGATTGATTGCATTATCAAGTTGGGGTGCCAGATATAAATCTGCCTGCAAGTAACAAATAAAAAAATAAAATAAAATATAAGAATATTCCAACTCATCATCAAATAAAATGGAATCTAATACAAAAATGAAAAATCTCATCTTATTGTACAAAGTATATAAACATACCAAGTAAATTTCATCTCCAGTTGCATATTTTCCAGCATACTTCATTAGTAGCTTCTCTAGAGCTGCAAAAGTGGTCACATGATTAGGAATTTGGGAATTTTATTTTATTTAATATGGAATTGAATAAACAAAAAAGATAATTAAATTGTGCAAAAGTTATTACCTGCAAATCCTTTCCTGATATGAAGTTGAGCCCACGGAAGCTTCTCTTCAGGACCAACAATTTCCCCAATATAATTCTGTTAAAATTTAAGATAATGGTCAACTCAATTATAAAAATAAAAAATGTAATTAAACAGAGATATTCACTAGAATGTTCTACTTACAACTAAAGTCATATTTTGAAGAGGTTGAATGCTGGAAGAAATGATACTTGCAACCTATTGCAAGGAATTTAATACATCATATTATGAGTAATTAATAATAATTTAATATGTATCGCTTTAAAACCTGGTAATTTATTGCTCTTCTTGTAAGATCTTGAGGTAATAAAGAATGCAGAGGGTATTTCTCTTCTAGATACTGTAAATGAGAAAGATCAAACATGAAATATTAATGTAGATTATAATTTATATGAGAATTGAGAAGGAAGCTAAAGCTTAAAGAAGAATGACAATATATTTAAGTTTACCAATAAGATGGCGTAAGAATCTGAAATTACAATAGTGCCATCGACAAGTGCAGGCACATATCCCATAGGATTCACCTTTAGAAGCTCTGTAATGTAAGGGATAGTAGGTGTCATTACATTTAAATGTGATTGCCTTCGAAATTGTATAAACCTTGACATATATTTTCTTACTAAAATTGGAAAGTACCCAAGTGTCAAATCCATGTAAGGTTTAGTATTCTCACCTGGATGATTTGTGGAGGTAATATTTATGCAATCATATTTGATCCCTGCAATTCATACAAGAAACAAGCACATACTCAAATGGTGTTGAATTGAATGAGTATTCTTTTCTAATTTCATACAATCAAACTTTGTAGTTCCCAATACGAATAGATTAGTCTTGGTATTGACTTGTAAACAAAAATTTCATGTTAACAATCAATCTATATTGTAATTGGATCCCTGTTTGTGGGGGAAGTAATATTCAACAGATCTAATTAGATGTATGTATATTTGGAATTTAATGAGTTATAGAAACATAGTGAGGATTAAACGGAGGAGAAACCTTTTAAGTTGAGAGCGAGGCGAACACGACGAGAGCAGGAACTCATGGGGTGCGAATACAGCTTCATCGCCTGATTTCCCTCTTCCATTCCTTCACTGATCGAGCTCTGATTGCTTCGTAGACGACTAGAACCCAGTAATCAGTTGAGTTGACTTGATAGTGATTAGGATTTATGATGAATTTGTTTTGAATGTGCGTTTTCAAAGTCTATCTTCTTCCACTAAAAACTTTGGCTCAATGTTTATGCAAGGAACGTATTTTTAAATAGAAATTAATGCCAAGTATGTTCAAGTTTCATATTACACCATAAAACATGCTAATATACATTTGTCCTTTTAGAATTAATCTTTTCTATAATAACTATTTATTAGTTTTTCTTAATACATGTTAATTATAAACACTAGGGCATCCAGTAATGTATTAAATTCATTAGACTTTAATTGATTGCATCATGGACATTTTATTTTTCTTGTAATTCTATCAAAAAATTGCAATATATTAAACTCCATGGAATTTAATGAAACATATTTTTAATAATTAAAATATTTTATTTTTCTCATTAAATAGTTCGTATTAAACTTTATATTGAATGCCAACATCACATATACAATATTCGATAGTTCATATTAAACTTTATATTGAATGCCAACATCACATATACAATATTCGAGTTTAATCTATTAAATCTCAATTGAATATATCATCTTGAACCAATATTGTGGATGTTTTATTATGTCCAAATGTTATGAAATTAATTATTGAAACTTTAAATAATATTATCAAGTATTGCCTATTAGTTATTGCAAGCCTTGTAACCTAACCGAAGGAGAAGTTGTTGAGAATGTTATTGTAGCACCTGGTTCCCGGTATGTAAATCTTATTTGAGTATTTTCCATTTTAGCCTTTGACTCGGCGAGTCATAGGTCCGACTCGCCGAGTAGGGATGAGACTCAGGACACGTTTAAGTTGGCGACTCAGCGAGTCCATATCCTGGACTCGGCGAGTCACCGCTGCTGGATGAAACCCTAAATTTCAAGGGTTTGCACCCTATTTAAACCCTCATTTCCACCCCAAACTCGCCCCATTCACCCTTAGAGCTCCCAACATCGTTTATACCCTTATTTCCTTGAGAGATTGAAGTGTTTTGGTGTGTTCTTGAAGATTTTGAGGAGAAAGAAGAGTAGATCAAGAAGAGGAGAAGGAGGCCAGGCATCTTTGTGTCATCTCAACGTTTTCTTTGAGGTATAGCTCGTTTCCCCTCTGTTTTCAAGCTTGTAGTCTCTTTTAACTTCATGGAAGTCCTTCTTGAGCTTTTCCCCAAGCTTGTTTGTGCATTGTGGGTTGTAATAAGTTGTTAGCCTTTAGATCTAGGCATGATTTAGTCCCTGGAGCTTGGATCTAATGCCTTTATGGGGTCATATTGCATGAAAGCCCTAGATTTACCTCTTTTGGTGCACTTTGAGCCCTAAAATCCATATTGGTGAATATCTACACGTAAAGTTGGAAACTTTACGTGTGATTCGTGTCCTCGAAGCCCAGATCTGTGAATGGCATGGACTGGAATCGAGCAAATCAGTGTATTTGATGGATGCATGGCGACGACTCAGTGAGTCGTTTATGTGACTCGGCGAATCTGCTCGCGAGTCACCAAATTGGTCCCTTTATGATGTATCGAGTTTGAGCCGTGAGTCACAGGGGGTGACTCGGTGAGTTGGAAGCTGAACTCACCCATGTTAGGACTCGGCGAGTCAATGCCCTGACTCGGCAAGTCCAAGGCAATCTTCATAGATCAAGAACAGACTCAGCGAGTTGTTCATACAACTCGGCGAGTCTAGCATGAGTGTTCATCGGATGAAAATGAACTCGATGAGTTGTTCATACAACTCGGCGAGTCTAGCATGAGTGTTCATCGGATGAAGATGAACTCGATGAGTTGTTCATACAACTCGGCGAGTAGGACGAAGAACTTCAATGTCAGTTTAGAAGAAGAACTCGTCAAGTCTTAGCCTAACTCGACGAGTAGAATCAGGGACTCAGGACAATCGTCTGGATAGGAACTCGGCGAGTTGGTGAGCTAACTCGGCGAGTCGGGTCAACTGAAAGTTGACTCCGTCTTTGACTTAGGGCTAGACTAGGGGTAAAATGGTTATTTTACCCAAAGGACAGTTAGCAGTGTGTGATTGAGTATGTTGTGGGAATTGCAGTCGGAGGAGTTCCGGGGCAGCAGCAGCGGTCAGTCAGTTCCCGATCAGTTCATCAGCTACTTTGAGGTGAGTTACCTTCCAGTAGCGGTGGGTCTAAGGCCACAATGCTGGCCCACCAGTAGGAGATGTGTGATTAGATGATTGTCTTTGTGATATTCATCTAGGGTTGCTAGACTATGTGATATATGTGTTATGTGGTAGTAGTAGGGGGGTGAAATAGTCCCTAGTATCCGGTCGAAAGGACTGAAGGGGAGGCCAGCACCCAGATATGCTAGGCAGTATCCGATCGAAAGGACCGAAGGGGAGGCCAACACCCAGATATGCTAGGCAGTATCCGGTTGAAAGGACCGAAGGGGAGGCCAGCACCCAGATATGCTAGGCAGTATCCGGTCGAGAGGACCGAAGGGGTAGGTCGAGCACCCAGATATGCCTGACAAATTTATGTATGTTATGTGATTATGTGGGATGTGGTACAGTGGGGGAACTCACTAAGCTTTGTGCTTACGTTTTACAGTTTTGTGTTCAGGTACCTCTTCACCGAAGGGGAAGGAGCTGGCGCGGTAGCGGCACATCATGCACACACTCTGGTTTCCACATTTATGAGATTCACTGGGATTTGTACTCTGATATTTTGATGGGTTGTATGGTTTGGCTTTTAAACATGATTTGTGTTGTGTTGTGGTTTGATCAAACAATGTTTTAATTATTAATGTTTTCTAAAGTAATGTTTTAAAGCGAAATTTTCGGACGTGAAAATTTGGGTCGTTACAGTTATCATTTAGTTATCAAGTATTGTGGATTAGTTACTGCAAGGCATGTGACATAACTGTTGGGAAAATTAGGGTTTGTGGTGGAGATCTGGATACCAGCTTGGATCGTGATATCACTTTCCGAACTGATATTTCTACCCTATGCTTGGGTTACAAGAAATTTAGTCTAGGATAATCCAAGCGGACACCTACGTTTCTAGGCACAGAAAACGTAAGCTATTATGCTAAAGAGTTCTATGAATGTGTAATGAAAAACAAGAGCTAAAGAACGTCCATCTTCTGGAAAGGAAGAGTTGTTTAACTACTAAACACAATTAGGGTTTCATTAGGGACCCCAGCTAGGGGCTCTGCCCCTTGGACCCCGCTAGGGGCGTTGCCTCTAGACCCCACCAAAGGGGCGCTGCCCCTTTGGAAACCCCGGACCCAAGGGCGCTGCCCCCAAACCCCCGACTAGTCGTCGAACCGGCTTCTAACTCAATCTTATACATGCGTGCACTCCGTACAACCTCGTACATGTATTAGAGTACTAATCATGAAACCCCTTAGCTCACATGTTAGTTCCAGTTACTTAAAATGACATGGTGACACTAAAATCACCAACACTAACGGGAGAAGAAGTTGTTAAGAATGTATCATTTAATGGTTTTAAGTTTAAAAAAAAGTATTATGCATTATTTATAATGGAAAGTTATAAAAAGAACCGCAAAAGTTCTATTAAGATCATGGGAAGCTACAAGTAGCTAAACTCAAATATATAATACTATATAACCATATTAGTGATAAAGTCAAATGTATCAAGATCATATGATGTTACAAATTACTTCAACAGTTAGGTTTTTTAAGGTTTTAACCTTTTAATATTTTTTATTCGTTTTTTTATGCGTTAAAATAAACTTTATTAGTATTATTATTAGGAATGGAATTTTTATTTTTATTGAATGTAGATACTTTCAATGTAAAACCTGAGTTTTGATTGTGTTTTCACTCTTTGCTCATTGGTTTTAAAGTCTAAAGAATTGTAGAATCAATGAACGAAGCAGGATTAATGATTGAGTTAATCAACAAAAAAAATCTAGGAATTAGCTCGAAAGTGTTAAGCATCGATAAGCTTGCGTGACACACTTGGCTTTTTGGGCTGGAAGTCTTATATTAGATTTTGGGCTTATTTAAGGGGCACAAACCCCTAGGAATCCTTCACACACAACCTCTATTACCCCTTAAACGATCCTTATGAAACTATACCCTTCATTGAAGAATTTTGAGCTCATCCTCTCTTACAAAATCCAATTTGTGTTTATTTAATGATATTTGGTGCTCTAGAGTGAAGGAAATAAGAAATATTGATCAAAGGAGCTTTGTATTTGACATATCCAACCTTCTTATCACATTTAGACCTTTGTAAGTCATAAAGGTCCAAGCTTTATTCATTTCATCCATATATTTAGGAGTTGGTGGTGTTTTTGGTCCATTTTAGTAAGTTTTGGTCCCTTTGAGGCTTGTTTCATAGAGTTTTATGGACTCTTAAGCTTATGGTTGATGTTTGGGTTAAGAACTAGTCTTTTGGTGGAGTATAGAGAGGGCATGCAAGATCTCTGTTTACTCCATGCATGAAGAAAAGTAAGTTTTTGGAGATTTCTTAATCTAGGATCTTAGATCTTGGTTGTTTGGAGTGTCTCAATGGATAAAGTTGAATACTTTATCCATTAAGACACTAGTGGGAATCAGATCTAGGAGTGGAGCCCTTGACTTCATGGTTTAAATTGAAAATGAAAATTAGATCTGAAGGGATGTGACGCGTCTTCTAGAGGACATGGAACGCCTCTAAATTTTTTCTGAGTTGTGTCTGATTTAAGCTGGTAGTCGATTATTTTGTCATTTTGAGGACGACAGGCACCCAGGACGGGGTGCGTGGCGCATTTGATCTTTTTCATTGACTTTTGGGTTGTTGACTTTTGACCATTTTGACTTTTGGGTCAAACCTTGACAGACTTCAGTATTTGACAAGGTTTGGTCTTGGATTGGAATTAGGTAGTTCGTGCTAGTTGTTTCATCTCTAAGACTGTTGTAAAGTTTCTCATTACGTTATTAATGTCATTATTAGATCCTCTATATGTTGGATGTTTATGTAATACTATAACATGATTGTATGCCTAGTTAGACTAGCTGGGTATTGCTTGTTTGCTTGTATGTTTACGTGCTTTATTGGGCTAAAGTAGGCCATTAGGTTGAAATATGTTGTTGGGCTGAAATAGGTCGTTGGGCTGATGACAACACCATTTTCACAATATTATTATTC